GGAATGGGGGGGGGGGCACAGGGATCTTCTTGAGGCTGGCCTTCACAGGGTGGTTTCCCTATTTTGTTAGAAGAGTTGTAAGCCCTCAAAACACCTACCATATATTCAAGGCCAAAACTCACTCCCAAGGCAAGGAGAGACTGGCTGCGTGCTGCTGGCATGAAGACAGGAGAGTTCACGGCTTCCCGAAAGTCACTCCCTCTCTGATCCTTTCAAACCCTTCTCTGTTGCCTGCTCCCTGCGCTTGCCTAGTCCCCGAAATAGCTTCAATAAAATGTCACTGAGCTCTCTGGGTCATGACTGAGTCTGTGTCTTATCTCACATTCAGAGGGCAACCATGGACCTGGGGTTCTCCGGGAGAAGGTGCCTTCCAATGAACTACTTACTCTACTCTCTGCCCCAGAGCTCTGGTCCAGAATTCCAGGGAACTCAACACGGTCATGGAGGCTGTATGTTGGCCTGGATGTGTCCGAGGGATGCTCTCCCATGTCCACACTGCCCCACTGGGCCCAGCCCTCACAGGTGCCCACTAGCTCATTGATCTTCTCTGGTGGGAGTCTGGAGGGATCCTGCTTTCTGGTCTGGCTTCTCAGCATCGCCATCATCACGAACACCATCTCCAGGGCCGATTTCTGGGACACTTCCTTTAGGGCACAATGAGAACCCCCTTCCCCTGCACCATGCACAGGACCCCACCCCAGCATCGCCCATAGTCTCTTATTACAACCCTCACCTGCTCCAGCTCCCATCTTCCCTCCTCAGCATGCTGGGACCACAAGTCAAGACTATGCAAAAAGGGACATTACAAAATGTCACAGTTAGACTAAGAATTGTCCAACACAAGAAATGTTTGAGTTCTAGTCCTCTAATCTACAGGTGGGGAAGCGGAGGAACAGAGGAAATATAACGCATGTTGGCTGCAGACCCCGATCCCTAACCCAGGTTTCTCTCGATGGAGCAGCAGAGGGGCGACATCAGAGAGAATGGAGTTGAATCAGCCTTGGGGGAGCTTCACCACTCCGCTCCTGGCTTTCCTTATTTGTAACTAGAAACTCCATAATGGTGACATCACATGGGTTAAATGAGATAATGAATGTAGAGCTCAGGGTGGTCCAGCACAGAGTAAGCACCCAATAAATGTTCTCACTATTATTATTGAGATGATTCTGACCTGGAAAATGTCATAGTGTGGAAGGGAAAACCCCACTGGCCACAGCAGCAGTTTCACTGATGGGACTGATGGGAAGAGGAGGGAACAGAATGAGGGTAGCAGTTCAAGCGTCTTTAAAGAGCTGTGACCTGGACGCTGGGGAGAAGGCCTCTATCCAGCATCCACCTAGACAATTCCTGAGGGCAGTGACTGTCTCCAGAGATGTCCTCAGGCCAGAGCAGGCTCTGTCTACCTCAGAGAGGCTTTGGATGGGGGGAAGGAAGGAAAAGAAACAAAGACGTGGAACACTGACCTCATGGCTGACATCATTGCATGTTTCGGGGAAACATTCCTTCCCCTCCTTGAGCACAGAGCATCTCCTCTTGAGTCCCCTGTGGCCTTTCTGGACTAAACAGGCCCTGGAGACAAAGCGTAGGGAGCCAGAGCCAGGACCCCACTTGGCCTGAGGAGGGGCAGGGCCCAGCCTACTTATTGAGGCTTCTCCCACCCCAAAACCTTCTTCCCTGGAAGCTCCCAGGATCCCCTAGAAGTCCATGAAGGGTACTTGGGTCTGGAGCATCTGCAGAAAGACATAAAAACAGCCTTGAGGAAATAGAGCATCCTCTATCATATCCAACTTGGCCTCTAATCCCAGGGCAGCCAGGGTCTGCAACTCATGCCCCTCTCTTACGAAATGGCATAAAGCCCCAACTCTCCCTTTCCGTGAGCCTGAGCCTCTGAATATGCCACACATATCTGTCTGGTTGGCCCCTTTCATCACCCCTGTAAACAAGGAAGAAGGGCACATGGGACTTTTATAGGGCTACCAGCACTGACCATTGGCTCCTTTTCTCTGCTATTTGCTACCTTAATTATCCACTTGGGTACTTAGAGCTGCCCATCTCCCAAGCTCATAAACCGGATTTAATGGTGATTGGGGGTCTGACCCAGCTTTGCCCTCCAGCCCCCTACCAGATAAAAAGGTGGGAGCTGAGCTGACTTGCTAGCTCTCACTTCCTGTTCTCCTGCCCAGGGCCCACCGCTCTGCCTCTCTCTCCTGCTATGTCGTGTGGATCCTTCCAGCAGGGCTCCAGATGTGGCAGCCGGAGCTTCAGCTCCTGCTCAGCTGTCCTCCCCCAGATGGTTACCCACTATGCAGTGAGCACAGGGCCATGCCGGCCTGGGGGCGGCGGGGGCCTCAGGGTCCTGGGCTGCCTCCGCTCACGGAGCCTGTGCAACGTGGGCTTCGGGAGGCCCCGGGTCGCCTCCAGATGTGGCCTTCCTGCCTTCGGATACAGAGTGGGAGCCACCTGTGGGCCTTCTGCCTGCATCACCCCCGTCACCATCAATGAGAGTCTACTGGTCCCACTCGAGCTGGAAATCGACCCGACCGTGCAGAGTGTAAAGAGGGATGAGAAGGAGCAGATCAAGTGCCTCAACAACCGCTTTGCATCCTTCATCAGCAAGGTAAGAGGCCCAGGCCGCAGGGGAAAGACTGACCATAGAGAAGCCCGGTCGTCTCTTGGCCTCTCCTGCACTCCACGATTACTAGTCATTGAAAACTGGTTAGATCAGGCTCAGCACTAAACTTTTCTGTTTGCTGATTCTTTGTTTTTAATGTCATCTCTCTCTGGATATTATCTGATAAAATCACCAAGGTTGCCTGAGGTCAGACTACAAGAGGAACTTCCAAAGCAATGATAGATACTGAAAGGAACAACCTAAGAGGCCCTCTTGATGAGGCTTTAACAATAGAGCTGCTTTCTAAGTGCCTGAGTTGGGGCCAGGCCCTTGGGCCCAGAGATGGGAATGGGTACTGTGACTTCGGAATTTGCCACCAGCTTAGGCCTGTGATGAGGAGAAGGTGGAGCAGTGAGAGCTAGGGATAAAGG